TTGCCAGAGACTGTGCGGCAATCTGGCTCGTGACCTCACAAAGCAAAACATTTTAGCAAAGGAGCAGATCACTATTTTCTTTGATCACCTTTTGTCTTCACAGAAACATGGATTTCAGGTTGTATTCCCAGCAAGTTTTGAAGCTCTCTCGACGTTGTTTAGCTGTCATAAGGATGTGAAGGAGCGTGATGAAGCATGTGAACTTTTGATTGAAATCCCTCCAAAATTCAAATGCCAGAACCAAGGATTGGCTCTATACGCTTCTCTTGAAACCCCGCAAAAGAAAAGACCAGGTTACCGAGGTCTTCTAGCAGAAATTTCCGTCAATCAACCAGGAATGAAACCTTATTTTATTCATTTCGATTACGATTTCAGAAAGAGAGGGTATGGTCATGATATAGGGTCAGGTCATGTGTGGCTGTGCTATATTCGATTAAGAGAAATGTTTTACCGGGATGATCAGATTACCTGGCCGCAGTCGCCTTTTGCTTGTCGAGTTAATTTTCAGAATTTGACACTAGATTCGCTGTGTTTTAAAAGCTTCGGGGTCCACCTGATAATGACACAGGATGATGAAGACCTGTCTATATTTAAGGAAGATTGTGAGTCTGAATCTGATGACTTGGAAGATGCTAATGAGAGGTTTGATGGAGATAATTGTGTTGATCTATGCGAAGATGAGCAAGACTCGGAACATGACTACTTCAGCTGTGAAGATAATGAAGATGGCTACTTTTACCGAAGATGATGATGAAGAGGTGAATAGGTATTTCGGTGAAGCTTTTCATTCACTCAACAAAACTCATACCCCACTTCCTACTCTCTCTCTCTCTCTTTTCCCAAGGAATATTCCTAAAACTAAATCCTGTGTGCGAGCCTATAACCAACGGCTGTCTGTGGCACACTGATTTTTCATCCAATATCCAAACCACATGAAGGGCAAGGCCCTCTTTCTCTTTTTCTCTCTTCTATATAACCCCCAACAAGCATAATAGCCAGCTCTCCTCATCATCCTTGATCAAACTCAAAGAGTCAAGACCAAGCCAGTTTTCACGTTCAAGCATGTCTGCAGTGGTGGAGGTTTGGATGAGCGAGTTGGCAAAGCTGAAAGACAAGGTAGGGGCTAAGAAGCGACTGGTGTTTTCATCAAAGGGAAAACAAGGAGAAGGTGATGATGAGGTTGAAAAACAACAGCAAGTGTTGAAAGAAGCAAGAAAAGAGAGCAGCAGAATGGCTCGGATTCAGAGGGACTTGGATTCCTCAAGGCTTTCAGAGGCCACAGTTCGTTTGCTTATGGACCGTTTTGTGCTTTGGTGACACCTTGCAAACGTGTTTAACTTGTTGAAGGACCTTTGCTCGCTTCTCGGGCCGTGAAAAATGAGATTATTTTTTTCAGTAATTATATATAACTAGGTTTTTTTGATTAAAAAATCATTAGTGATCCATTAGATTGCCTCCATGTAATTAAATTTTAGTGGATACATAAACTTATTACTAGTGTATTTGTTTTTTGTTTTTCCATTTTAATTATATTTTTGCAAGCTATTAGTGGATGAATGGTTCTTACATTTGGGATTATTGTTTTTCCAGAAGTTTAAATTATTGCCTCCAAGCTTTCCGTTAACAGGACAACCCATTAAACCATATATTATTTTTTAAACAAACAAACAAAAACAAAATACACAAGTTGTTTTTATTTATTTATAACATATATATATATATATATATATATAGTCAGTTAACTTAACCAAACCAGATTGTAATCTTTAATTAAATAGTTATTGTCTAAACTACAGTGAGGTTGTTCTTTCTTGCGAGTTATGAGTTACAGAAATTACAATGAGGGAGTTATATAACATTGGGTACACTAGACATAACATTGGTCACTACAGAGTAAAGTACTGCAAATCCCAAGAACATACACAGAGAAAACCCCCAAAAAAAGAAAAGAAAAAAAAAAGATACCTCTTCAACTAAAAAGGAGGAATATTGATGCTATGTAATTTTCCTTCTTGTGTGCTTCATCAGCATTTGTGATACTTTTTCTTATCCCGGGGTTTTTCCTGTGTGGTTTCTCCGAAAAGGTTTTAACGAGGCCACGCATTACATATCCATTATTCCTCCTTTCTAATGGAATGAAATCTACCTTTTCAAAAGAAAAAAAAAGAAGAAAAAAAAAGAAAGGAAAAGGTATTGGTCATGCAACAATTGACTATAGCATCATGAAACAATAAGTTTGATTAAATCCTCCATCTCATTTTAGCCCCTGGCATCATTAATTAAAAAGTTACTATCTAGTAATAGCCTGTTTGATCTTGTAATATATATTTGGTGGCAACCCAATTGAAACCACCCACCCCAAACTTATTTGACATTCCACGATACGGTCACTATCCAGCCATTGACCATATAAAGATTCCATTCTGATACTCAACAAATTTCTGCTCGAAGAAAAAATCGAACGAAGTCCCTCTCACTCTGTGAATGGGTTCATGATATTATTTTTGAGAATTGCATTCATTCTTAATCAAAAAAATATCGCTTTAATTACAATCCTGTTTTTAAATTTGGTTATGTGTCTCATTACCTGCAAGACCCAATTGTTATATGATATATATTTTTAGGACCTAACCTATCGAAAAAGACGATAATATACTAAACTCATATACTTTTCTATCTAATAGTTAGCATGAAACATTATGAATTAACTGACTCGCCAATAACAAAATTTTGTCTTCTAACAATTATGGAGGTTATTTTTGAAAATCTTGATCTATTTCAGTCAACTTCATCAACAATCAACCTTTTGTCTTTTTTTTTCCCACACCCCTAACTACCTGATAAACACCAATGTTGCAACGAAAGTGTATTGATGCTTCTTTTTTCTTTATTTTCTTTTTGTGGTTTGTCGGTGTTTCCTTTTGACCATTTTCTTATTCCCTTTGATTTCGCATCCACTATGAAGATGACAGGAAACTACTTCGCATCTGTGATGTATATTGATGCTTATTATGACTGAAATTATGGTTTTTGTTATAAATAGTTAGTCTCATTAATTTTACAATAAATAAGGAAAGTTTTTTTGTTGTTGTTAAGAAGTAAGGTATTAAATATCGATGGTTTCAAAAATATTTGTGGTCTAAAAATTTGGAAATATATATCTAAGAAAAATTATCGATATTGATAAAAACTAGATTAAAAAAACAATGGAAATGATAAGAAAAACATGGAAATTTGTTATGATTTTTTAATTTTTTATTTATAGCACAAGTGATTAGGGGAGGTTGGTTTACACAAATATTCATTGGGTGTCTGGGTGTCTCGAACTTTTGCCCACATGAGTGGAGGTGTAATAGCTCAATCAACTGAGTTATATCACATGGACGTAATGAAACTTTTAGAAGATATTAAAATAGTCAATTATTTTGGCACAAAAGAATAGAATGAAATGTATTGCATAGTGAGTTTGAGTGATTTAAGGTGATTATATTAAAAGCTGACAAACAATGTGAATTATAATAAGATTATCGAATTCAATTCAGGTCATATTGAGACTATCAAATTTAGCTTATCATCCTATATCCGATAAACACCAAATTTTGGATCCTATTGATTTTATATCCTAATGAATATCCTAAGCGCGTCCTATGTGCATGTATCTAGTGGGGATTAAAATATGATGGGCTTTCTCTTGTATTTTTTCAATCAATTTTTGCGTAAATTTGACCTAAATTCTGTGAATTAGGCCATTTTGTTGATAAAGGAATCAATATTATTTTTCAAAATTTTTAGTGCAGAATTGTTTCTAGACACAAAGGGTTTGCATTCAAATTTTTATGTAACTGCTAGGTGTTTAACGACTCATGTACTAGTTAATACTGGTCTAATTGTTGACTAAATTTGAAGTTTGAAATGTAAAATGGAAAAAGTTACAATTGTAAGTAAGTGGTGGTTGTATCTTAGGAGACAAGCGCGACCATGAGCAACATAGTGGGGTGTGAACTGTCTTAAGAATAGAGTGCCGAGCACTTTCCTCTACCAATTTCGCATAAATAGTAAGAAATTTTGCTCTTTGTCATCTCCAACTATGTTGAGGCTAAACTCAAATTTTCACCCTCCAAAATATAACTATTCATATATTTTAGGGCTTAATTTTTTTTCCTCCAACCTTGCATACTCATAATTTGAGTTCGCAACTTTTTAAAATTGTTTAAGAATGATTAACCCTAAATTTTTTTTGATATTATTTTTGTTTCAACATTCATGATTTAATTTTATAAACATTTTAACCTAAAAAAATTAGAATTCCAAAACATAATAGAATTTCACTTAAAAATTAAAACAAGTACAACACCATACGTATGCCTGGAATAAATTATAAAAGTGGTTGTGTGATTTTAATGAATTATGTGGTTTATCATTGAATTTAAAAAAATAAACGACAATCATAAATAAAGATAAACGATAATTATAAATAAAAGGGAGAAAATATAACAAAAAGAGAAAGGAAAATAAAGAGATAATTATAAAATTTACAAATTTATAAATAAACCCAATCCTAGACATATATTTATAAAAAAACCCAAGCACTATTTAAACATAGAAACACACCCAAAATCAACCCCAAAGTCAACTTTTTGGGTGTGTTTATAAATGGGTTTTGAGTGTGTGTAATGATGGGTTTTGGGTGTGTTTATATGTTTAAATAGTGCTTGGGTTTTTTATAATTTCAGACCCCATTTTGGGTGTTTTAGTGAAATTCCCTATAAAATATAGCTGTTGGAATTATAAATAATTATATAAAATTAAAAATTAAAAAAAATTAAAACTGTCCCTCGTGTCTAGAGAGACCCAGCAGAGGTAGGGGTTCCAGGGGCCCAGAAAGACGAAGACTTTTCACTCACATGATTCTTCTCGCCACTGACATTGCCACCCAGAGACTCTTGGACAATAAATCACTATAATTTCCAACCCTTTCAGCCTGTTCAATTTTCACCAATATGGATCTAGACACCACTCAATTATTAGGAACTCCTTCCCCTTCTTCTTCTTCTTCTTCTTCTTTCACCAATTCATGGACCCACGATGTGTTTCTCAGCTTTAGAGGTGAGGACACACGCTACAATTTCACAGACCATCTGCACAAAAATTTGGTCCAGAGGGGCATCAGAACCTTCATAGATGATGAGCTCTCAAGAGGAGAAGAAATATCACAAACACTTGTCGATGCAATTGAAGGATCGAGGTGTTCTGTCGTCGTATTCTCTGAAAATTATGCATCCTCGAAGTGGTGCTTGGATGAACTCGCTCATATCATGCAATGTAGAAATTCGAAACAACAAATGGTTTGGCCAGTTTTCTACAAAGTGGATCCCTCGGATGTACGGAATCAAAGAGGTAGTTATGGTGAGGCACTTGCTAACCATGAACGCAAATTCGAAGACGAGAAACTTACAAACCATGATGAAAGAAAATTCCAAGACAATATGAAGAAGGTTCTGAGATGGAAGGAAGCTCTTACAAAAGCTGCACACTTGTCTGGGTCGCATTACTTGGAGGGGTATGTTTTTTTCTTTTCTGAATGCGGTATATTTCTATCTTTAATATACATTTAGGATCCGGAGGCTCTGCTTTAATTTCAATTTATTTATCCCAGGGTTGCAGAATCTGTTATTGTAACTGTTAACATGTGATGGACATTTGGTAGAAATCTCTAGAGTAATAATTTAGAATCCCAAAGTGCTACAATAGCTATCAGATATCTAAGATAATTGTAGTAGAATCTAGAAGAGGGTATCTACTGGACTAAATGACCAAGTCGGTGAACTATGCCGGCTAAACAAATAGCCACAAACATATAAGGTGTTTTTGTAGAATGCTCTAGTCTAGAGCAAACCGCAGCTTATGTGGCTGATGATATTTGATAAAGCCAAGTCGTAGACACGGCAGTTGGTCAAGTCGGCAGTCTTGCCGGAAAACATTGCCAATGAATAGGATTGAAGTGTTGTAATGTGTATTGTAACTAAGAAATCTACTAGAAAGCCAAACACTAGTCTTATATCTAAGCCTCACACAATCTAATAGAAACAAAGTAATATAGAAACAGAGGAGATTACAAGGCTTTCTGTAATATGCCTGTGGAATCCTGCAGTCCTTTATTTTTTTGTTGGATGCAATCCTGCAGTCCTACAAACCCACTAATTAGCAAATAGTTACATCACTGAAAGGCCACTTAGCCAACCAATAGCTACATTATTAATAGCCATAGTTCTTTACCAAGCAGTGTACTTCTCTCCTTTCTAATAGAATCACTCTGTTACGAAAACCAATCTCTTCTATTGTTATCGTAGTGTCCATTCCATCACATGCTTTCCCTAACATCATAGCTTGGTCACGTATTTTCTAATCTTTTGTTTTTCCCACATGTTCTCAGCCATCAAGCAATATAAATTCAAGATATGCAATCAAAAGTACCGAAAATGAATAGAAACTACAGATTAGATCGATATATTTTCTGCACTTCATTTCTCAACCGCCAAACATCAAATTCAAGATCTTGAAGCAAAATGAGCAAAAATAGACAAAAGACAACATGAAAATCTTGTACAATAGTAACATGTTTGATAAACAATTGTTGGATAATGTAAGGAGAAATCGAGAAGAGCGATTAAACGATAGAGTGAGAAAATAGAAGGGGAGTGTAAGACAGAAGAAGAAAACCATGTTTGATGTACTTTCCCTAACTTATTTATTTGGGTTTAATATTGTGAAAAAAAAAACTTCTCAAATAAACCCATCCCTGCCATACACAGCCGCACTCCCGCCTCTCTTATGACCCTCCCTCCACCTTCCTCTATCGCATCCACCACCTCTCTCTCTCTCCAGAGGCAATCCCACCTAGAGGATTTGAAAAAATTAAGCCTATGGTATATGATAACATATGCAACAAACATATATAAAATGTTGTCCATAAATTACATAATTTCCAAGAACAAAATACTAAATTGATTTATTAGTCTTAGATACCTACCAAACAGCTCTTCCTTTGTTGATTATAAAACCCTCATTTAATTATTCTTCTTGATAAATGTAAGACAGTTATGGATATTGAATCCAACTTTTAACTAGTAAACCGAGATTTTAATAAGAAGAAGTGTCTAGACATATCAAATATCATGATGAAGTAACTCCATCATCTAAAATTCACGACATAATTTACACTAGTATTGAGTGGAGCACTTCTTTAAAACATATATAGAAAAATCCCATTTTATTTAAATGTTGTTTGTGCTTAAAATTGGCAGCCGTGAAGCTGAATTTATTCAGAACATTGTCAACGAGATTTCCTTACAAGTATTAAATGATACCCATATCAATGTGGCAAAATACCAAATCGGAATAGAGGCTCGTGTACGAGATCTTCATAAAGTTTTAGATGTTGACGGAAATGATGTTCGCATGGTAGGAATATGGGGGAATGGTGGAATAGGAAAGACAACTGTTGCTAAAGCTGTTTATAACTCACTGGCCCATGTGTTTGAAGGGAGTTGTTTTCTGGAAAATGTAAGAGAAAGATCAATACCATATGGAGGCCTAGTCGACCTACAAAATCTTCTTCTTTATGAGATTCTAAGGGGAAAGGAAATAAAGGTTACCAGTGCCGATAAAGGAATCAGTGTGATAAAGGAAAGGTTGAGTCATAAAAAGGTTCTTATAATTGTAGATGATGTGGATCATTTGGACCAGTTAAACAACATAGTCGGAGGTTGTGATTGGTTTGGTTTGGGCAGTAGAATTATCATAACGACAAGAGATAAGCATTTGCTAACTTCTCATCAAGTTAGTATTATATACAAGGCCAAGAAATTAAACTTTCGTGAATCTCTTGATCTCTTCATTAGTTGGAATGGTGGGAGAAATAAAAATTTGGACGATGATTATGTGAAAGCTGCAGAAACTGCGGTGAAGCATGCTCAAGGTCTTCCTTTAGCTCTCAAGGTTTTAGGTTCTCATCTATGTGGTAGAAGTATAGATGAGTGGCATGATGCATTGGATGGGAATCTGCACTCGGACATTAAAAAAACTCTCAAAATAAGCTATGACGCATTGGAATATTCGGTGCAAGAAGTTTTCCTTGACATAGCATGTTTCTTTAATGGTAGAAAGGTGAACCATGTGATACCGATCCTGGAAGGTTGTGACCTCAAGCCTAAGTATGCCATTAAAGTACTCGTAGACAAGGCCCTTATAAATATTGAACAAGGCGTAATTGGGATGCATGACTTGCTTGAAGAATTGGGTAGAGGAATAGTTTATCAAGAGTCGCCAAATGAGCCTGGTGAACGTAGCAGATTGTGGTTTCACGAGGATGTTTATCGTGTTCTAACAGAAGGAACAGTAAGTCTGTGTGTGTGATGTGTACACTTGCATTTTTATTTGCTAAAGAGCTTTGTATGTTAACACTACTGCTTTTTGATAATAGGGAACAAACAATATTAAAGGCATCATAGCGAAGTTTCCGACACCAGATGACATATGCTTGAGTGGTGACAGCTTCTCAAAGATGAAAAACCTTCGACTTTTCATCAATGTGAATGCATGATTTTATGGTGATCACGTGGATTATCTATCTAATGAGTTGAGGTTTCTTCATTGGCCTGATTGTCCTCTACAAACTTTACCATCTACTTTCAATCCAAGGAAACTTGTTGAACTTTATATGCCTTGTAGACGCTTGTCACAACTTGGGGAGGGATTCAAGGTAATTTAAAATATTTTCATCCCTTCGTATTTTCAAAAGTTTATTAAGTTTTTGGAGTCATGACTTGCACTTGTTTATGCCTTATCGTTTGATCCTTCTTTTTCTTTTCTATTTTTGTCTTATATAGCGTTTGCAAAATTTGAAGTCCATGAATTTTGAGAGCTGTGAATTCCTAACAAAAACCCCAAATATCTCTGGAATTCCAAACTTACAGTCCTTGAATCTGGACGACTGCACGAGTTTAGTTGAGGTTCATCCTTCTGTTGGATTTCATGACAAGCTTGTTGACTTGAGTCTTGTGAGATGCCATAACCTCACACTATTTCCGATAATCAAGTCAAAATCTCTAGAAGTTCTCAATCTTGAAGATTGCAGAAGACTGGAGACTTTCCCTGTAATTGGGGGAAAGATGGATTCCTTACGTTGCATGTTTCTATCTGGTAGTGGCGTCAAAGAATTGCCTGCGTCAATTGCATATCTCATCAGTCTTGAATTTTTAGACCTGAGCAGTTGTGAAAATCTTACGAATCTGCCACCCAGCATTTATGAGTTGGAACATCTAAACCACATTTGTCTCCAAGGAAGTCGAAAGCTTGTTACATTTCCAAATAATGTGAAGTCTGAAGTTTTGGGGAGTGCAGTATCACATCCTTTAGCGCTTCCCAGACTTGAGGCATTCACTTTGGAAGGAAGCAATTTATCAGAAATTAATTTCCTCAGAACTCTTGATTGTGTGTCTACATTGAGCGCACTTGATCTAACAAGAAGTGATTTCCTTGTAAGTATTCCCGTATGCATTACAAAATTTGTCAATTTGCGGGAGCTTTACTTGCATGGCTGCAAGAGGCTTCAAGATATTCCTGAACTTCCACCAAAAATAGTAAAGTTAGAGGCGAGTGATTGCATATCATTGGAAAGGTTTTCATCATTGTCCAACATTCTGAAAGGTAAAAAAGACTCACAAATGATTGAGTTGGTGGACTTGTGTAATTGCCAGAGACTGTGCGGCAATCTGGCTCGTGACCTCACAAAGAAGCAAAACATTTTAGCAAAGGAGCAGATCACACTCTTCTTTGATCACCTTCTGTCTTCACAGAAACATGGATTTCAGGTTGTATTTCCAGCCAGTTTTGAAGCTCTCTCGACGTTGTTCAGCTGTCATAAGGATGTGAAGGAGCGTTATGAAGCATGTGAACTTTTGATTGAAATCCCTCCAAACTTCAAATGCCAGAACCAAGGATTGGCTCTATACGCTGCTGTTGAAAACCCACAAAATAAAAGACGACGTTACCATGGTTTTCTAACAAGAATTTCTGTCAATCAACCAGAAGTGGTACCTCATTTTATTCAGTTCGATTACCATTTCAGAAAGATAGGGTCAGGTCATGTGTGGCTGTGCTATATTCGATTCAGAGAAATGTTTTACCGGGATGATCAGATTACCTGGCCGCAGTCGCCTTTTGTGTGTCGAGTTAATTTTCAGAATTTGACACAAGATTCGCTGCGTTTTAAAAGCTTCGGGGTCCACCTGGTAATGACACAGGATGATGAAGACCTGTCTATATTTACAGAAGATGGTGAGTCTGAATCCGATTACTTGGTAGATGCTGATGACAGGTTTGATGGAGATAATTGTGTTGATCTATGTGAAGATGAGCAAGACTCGGAACATGACTACTTCAGCTGTGAAGATAATGAAGATGGCTACTTTTACTGAAGATGATGATGAAGAGGTGAATAGGTATTTCGGAGAAAGAGATTTGCAATGTTGGAATAAGACAAAAGAAAAACTGAGATGCAATGGAATACTATTGATGAATAGCAATATGCCAAGTTGCCCACAATCTAAAGAAGAGAGTTCCGTTCGCCCGCTCACGGGGAGCTTTTCATTCACCCAACAAAACTCATACCCCACTTTCTAGTCTCTCTCTCTCTCTCTCTCTCTCTTCCAAAGGAATATTTCTAAAACTAAATCCTGTGTGCGAGCCTATAACCAGCGGCTGTCTGTGACACACTGATTTTTCATCCAATCCAAACCACATGAAGGGCAAGGCCCTCTTTCTCTCTCTCTCTTCTATATAACCCAACAAGCATAATAGCCAGCTCTCCTCATCATCCTTGATCAAACTCAATAGTCAAGACCAAGCCAGAATTTCAAGTTTTCAAGTTCAAGCATGTCTGCAGTGGTGGAGGTTTGGATGAGCGAGTTGGCAAAGCTGAAAGACAATGTAGGGGCTAAGAAGCGAATGGTGTATTCATCAAAGGGCAAACAAGGAGAAGGTGATGATGAGGTCAGGAATGTTGGGGTGGTTCATTTTTGCCATGCATAATCAGACAATCGAGCATGGAACCTTTTGCATCCTTGGCAAACTTCAGCAACCCCAGCTTTCTGTTCGTTTCAAATCTCATGGCCCCTGATCATTAAATGTGCCCCGGTTATCTTTGGAAAGAAACTGGCCACGAATGTCCAATAACTGCATTAGGCATGTGCCCACCCTATAACGGTCAGCAGTTGATTAGGCAGAGGACATAGGGTGCCTTGAAGAAATTAATGAACGTTTCATGCGAACAAGTCTTGCAGCTTGAAGCTGAACTCGATTTCCGAACGAAACAAGGGCTTGCTTAGCTGCCTGCACTGCTTTAGTCCTTTTATGAAGATGGGACAACCTCACACACTATTATCCAAAGTAGAAAACTGTTGGAGGTTTGAAAAAGGTTTTTCCACAGTTGCAATTTTAAGGATTTTGGATTTGTGGCAGCTCGCTTGCATGGTGTATCACATTTGCTTACCATTCTCAGTATCTCCAAAAGCAGTCTCTAGAAAACCAACACGAGCTCCGTATCTCAAATTTGCTTACCAATGTGAGTGCAGCATCAATCTTTTGTTCTGCTGTATATTTAAATGCATTTTTTCCCAGAATTACTCTTTTGCGATTATATATGCTCAGCCAGATTGTCCAGTTCTTCTCCTACCAATTTGATAGGCAATCAGTTTATTTTTCCACAGGTTGCGTTTCAGAAAGAGCAGGATCTTCATCTCTGCAGGAATACCAAAACTACAACACAACCTGAAATGCTAAGTTTTTGGACAGCGCCATCCTCTTTCATAGTTGGAAACTTCGAGAGTTCCCTTTCTTTAACATTTTTTTTTCTTCTAGATTTCTTCTGTATTGGGGGAGGATGGTAAGAATGACAGTTGAAACAGAGCAGTGGTATTCTTAATAAAAAGATGCACTAAACTAAATCCAGTCCTCTTTTGATAAAATCTGATCCAGATTTTGGTACTCAGTTTGACTCTCGGGAATCGTATTTATTATTATCATTCTCTGAAGGGCGACCCAAATAGGATAGCAAAACATTCCCATCCAATATGCTCTGTAGTGTGGAATCTTTATCACATGTGTTAAAGCGTGATTGGTTGGGGATAGCAAAACAGTGTTATACCCGTGGTGTACAAGTTTTTCTCCAAATACTGATTTGTGGTCAGACGGGTGATATATTCTACTTGCCGGACCTAAGAATTTCTCTTACTTAACCTAACTAAAGTTACGATTTTGGGCCATTAGGAAAAGAAATACAGGAAGCCATATGAGATACATAGGATAAGTAAATGCCCAATGTTTTCATTTCCATATCGTTCTTTTCTAATACCACTAGGTAGCTTGCCGTGATTTTTGGAACTTCCTGTGGCCAGACTAGCCTAGGCCAGACAAGAAAGTTGAATGAAACCAACCAACGTAGGTGCTTGTTTTTTATGGCTAAAACATAAATTTACTTAAATTAATATAAATATATATATATATATATATATATACACAACCTTATATATAGAACCTACCAAGTCCCCAAAGCTTCAAAATCTTCCCCTTTCACAAGCATTTCAAGGTTGATGACATTCAGTCATGTCTGCAGTGGCAAGTATGTGGAGTAGTGAGATGAACAAGCGGACCCGAAAGGATCAAATCCTTGCCTCTAATGCCTCGGGCTCAACTGATGCTGGGTCTAGCCAGGAGGTGCAAGCAAAAAGAGGGATCAACTCAACTGTCATAGCTCCGATTTTCAGCCGAGTCGAGGGTGCCAACTCGCTTTTGACTGGCTATTCTGAGGCTTCAATTTCCATGCTTGTTGATTGGTTTAGCGCTTGAAGGATGTTGCTTCACCATCTCTGTTTCTTTATCTTCATTTTCTCTTTAAGTATTCAATAAAAGTATTGTACAGTTTTCAACACTGAAATTATGACTTAAGGCCAATAGTTTATTTAATATATATTTTATTTTATTTTATCAAATAACAAATTTCATTACATAAACTCTAGTTTTGGGCTACTAGATCATGAAAAAAAAGAAAAAAAGAAAAGAAAAAAAGATGGCATTATTTAAAAGAAAAAAAAAGGGAATCTGCTGCAGCTCTTTCAATCTGGTTGAAACGTGACAAAGCTAGCCCACGGTAAAACGCTTAGACTCGTATGTGATCAAAGGTAGACTTCATATAGTTCTTGCCACTTTGTTGAAGCTGTATATATTCCTTGTAGTTCATGGCAAGGTATTTAGGAGCTTGGCCTTCCTTTTCCAACAACTCTGGAGCTGGTGCAACAACTGTATCTACAGATGGTCCATGCGGTATGGCGATCGATATCCTTGTAGCTTTGTTGTTCACGGTGGCTCGATGCATTACTCTCTTGTATTTACCATTAGTAAGAATCTGTAAGAAACCAAACAAGTTTAGATAAATTATTGTATAACCTGCATCTGGTCAGCGAGGTTGACAAAGAAACCGTTGGGAGGGCCATCAACGGTGAGCCATTTGCCGTTGTGCTCAACTTGGAGGCCTTTCATCTCATTCTGGATGAGGAGGGTGACAAGGCCATGATCAGTGTGATGGGGTATACCAATTGCATGTTCTGGCTGAGGGCAAGGCGGGTAGTAGTTGGCGGCGAGCATTTGTATGCCACGATCCATGTTCATGACGTTGTGTATGTAGTTTGGCTCCAACCCCAAGCTTTCTGAGATTGCTCTTGTTATCTCCAACGCAACTTCTCGGGCTCTCTTGCTGAACTCCATTGAGACCTCACTGAAGCAAGCCGGCTTGTAGAGGGAGTAGAATTCGGGATGCACTCTGACCTTGAAGAAGTCCCTCCAGAGAAGGAATTTATCCAATGCCAGATTATAGCTAGTTCCATACTTGAACATCTCTAGCACATCGTTCCCCGATTTGAACTCATTCTTCTCCTCGTCTGGTAAACTGAAAAATCCATGGCATGCTTCGATCATCGCCTTCATGAGGCTCTCAGGGACTCCATGGTTAATGGCCTGCAATGCACATGATTATAATAAGTTGTTAATTTTTTAATAGGTTGATAATGTAACTGCATGTATATTTGCATGTCCACTTACTACGAAGAAGCCCCACTCTTGACAAATTTTGACGAGGTCATGGATGATTTTTGACTGTTGTTCTGGAGATCCTGAGGAGACATGTTGACGATGGGAATTGCGAATCCAGGGTTGTTGGGATCTGCTTCATCGTTGGGGTTTATGGTGAAGCCATATGCAGAAGGAACATTGTTGAGAGCAGATGATTCAGCAAGTGATTTGATGCTCGTTACTTTCAATGCCTCCGTGCTTTGAGCAGCAGCAACTTCAGCCATCTCTAAACTTAACTAAGAAGATGATGATCACTAATTAGAAGATATAAATTGAGGAGGAAGCAAGAGTGTAATTAGTTCTATTTGAAAGAAGTGGTTCTTATTTATAGCCAACCAACATTTGAAAAAAGAAAAAAACGCCGACGAGAAAAACCTTATTTTCATACGTAATTCTTCATTCTTGGTCATGAGCAGAAAATAGTAGAAAGATATAATTCAAAATATTACCTACCATCTAGAAAAACCTTCTTTTCATTGGCCTCTGGCACCATATGAGTGGCTTAAGCCTTTTTTTTTCTTTTTCATCTTTCTAGATTAATCTAGACGCTTTGAATCGATCTGAGTGACATAATTCTTGATCAACAGTGTTATAGGTGCAGTTGGAAGAAATTAAACCAATGTAATTAATTTCTCACGACATCGCTTCCCAATAGGAGAAATAGAAGGTTCATGAACTTCATGTTTTCAACATGAAACACACAGATGACTTAAGAGAATTAATTCTCAAGCTTTGGATAGTACAACAAGTTTTGGTTCAAAAAACAAATACCTCATCTAGTAGGTCCTCTTAATTACTTCAACGTTTCTTTAAATCTCAAAAATTATCGATCCACCATTAAAAGAATATTAGATTTTGTTGTTGTTGAGAAATTCTAAGATTGCGTTCATAATTCAGTCAAAAAAGCCACTAGCCACAAATGACCAATACAAACTAGCCACAAAGGGCCATTATAAACTAACAAAATAATCAAAAAGAGAAAAAGCTTGAAAAAACAAAGCCATAACAATACAAATAAAACTCTTACAAAGGAGAGATGAAAAAGCCTCACAACGGAGAGATGAAAATGTCTAACAAAAGAGAGATGAAAAGGTCTCGCAAAGGAGAGATGAAAAGCTCTCACAAAAGGAGAGATGAAAAGCTCTCACAAAATAAGAGGTGAAAACTACATAGAGAACCCAAAGAGTCTTTGTGACTTATTCCGAATATAAAGAAACAACAAAAAAGATGGTGGTAAAGATCCAATGTCGAAGCGTAGGTGGAGATCCGACGCAAAGATAACAAAAAGAAGACGAAAACCTTTTGTCTTTGAAAATGAGGGAAGAAAAGAGGGAGGAAGAGAAGAGGGGAGAGGGAAGAAAGAACCATGACTTCCTTCCCAGTCAAAATGAAAACGGCCCTAGGAGGGTTTTTTGATAGAAAGGGGGCTAGGGTTCGGCATTGGTAAAGAATATTAGATTTTCAATCAGCATGTACATATTTAATATAACTAAATAAGCATAAAATATGGTGCAAAATGTCCATTTTTCTTGTGTGTACTTCTCATCTCTCTAGTAGATGATGATGGGTTTGGATTAATTAATTAATTTAGGAATTCTCAATGGGCCGGCCCAAATTATTAGGGCTTAAAGCTAATGTTAGGCCGACCAGGGTCCCTCACATGAGCTGGAATATGTGGGTCAGGCTGTGGCAATAAAAATTAAGAAAAATTAGGTATTAAACATAATTATCTTTACTAATTAGTATTTGAGACAAACTGTATTTCTGTTTTGGTTTTAATACCTAAGAATTGAATTTTGTTTTGGATTTAACCAAAGAGGAGGCCCAAATTCATTGGCCCACCTTACATTAATCACTGAAGGAACAATTATATCCTTTTAATTTAAAAGCCTGACCTAAATTTGTTGCTCTCTCTCTCTCTCTCTCTCTCTCTCTCTCTCTCTCTCTCTCTCTCTCTCTCTCCATAGCAACGACGACCACATCACCATGATCTGCGATCATCGATCCAAGATCGAGACGTCGATCTGCGATGGAATTCTCTAGCTGCTTGACTCACGGCTCATCCCTTCGGCATTCACCAGCGACTCCATGGTCTTCTAGCTCAAGATGAAGGGCACTGTGATTGCTATCTTGCTGAGTTCAAGATCGATTGACTTGCGGTTCATCCCTTCAAATAACAAAGATTAGAACATCCAAGGTTCCAATCTCCAGTTTTCGTGTGTTGAGGCCCAAAAATCCAAGGGGCTAAGCCCAAATTAACCCTTAGCCCAATATGGGTGATTGGATGCAAAATAAGCTCAATCGGGATAAAAGAAAATTTATAAGAGCCGCCAACACAAGTTACAAGCCACAAATTATGCTAAACAAGCACGTGCAGAAGGAGCCAAGAACATACCGATATTACTAAATCACGCTCACATGCTCATTCGGTGCTACTTGGCCCAACTATAGCCTATCACGGCATAATAAAATCCCAAGCACGAGCATAGAAATCATGCGCATTCTAATACCGAGCTACGTCACGAGCTTAAGTGGGCCCAAGCCACAAAATTAACCGAGGCTTACTGAGAAGGTTGTGGTATGGAAGGAAACAAGCAATCACGGGGCCCATTGAGGGTTCAAGGAACGTAGGTTTCAAAGTCACTTGGG